TTCGTGTGTTATGCAGCTGGATGGTACGTTTGACGCGATTCCATAAAAGCACACGCTAACTATAAAACCATGATTATCTGGTACATGAAGCCATTTAACTGATTTTTGTCTGCTATAGGCAATGTCTTTCTGAATTCTCTGAATTCTTTTAGTTTTTGGAAATTTGCTTTTTTTTTTAAATTTCATAAAATTTTTATATTTTCCTGCCTTTTCAGGCCAAAAAAATTGTCTTTTCGTGCAGTTTTCTGAATAACAATTTCATCTAAATTTATTTTCGATTAGCGAGACCCCTCGATTACTGGTGAACCAAGTTCGCTGTCAACTGGCTTATAAGCGATCCTCGAAATAAGGGCCATCGCGAGAGTTGCCAACGAGTGGTTGCTTTTGGCATCTGCCACTTCTCGAGTGCCTTCGCCTCTCTAAAGAGCAAGTACGGAGGGCATTTTAACTTTAAAACGAAGGAAGCATTTACCAGCCTATCAAAAGTGTACATATTAAGAAATTTGAAAAAGCTACATAAACAGTTCTAAACATCTTGCTGGTGAAAATTATGTATGTGTGTCAGTTTGTGACAACAAACATTCGTAATAATTTATTCGTTGTTTTTTTTCCCTTCTGAAAAATAACTCTGTAATTTTCATCCTCTCATTAAAAAATAAATATCATATGTGTGCGGTTATTTTGTCTTTTTATTCGGAAATTTTGTTTGAAAAACAGCTCGAAATGTGGAAAAATCGAAGAATTTTCCAGCTGCACGATACTTAGTGGAAACACGACGAAAAAAAAAAATAACAGGATACTGTGGAGTATATTGAATTCAAGACGAGTAAAATTCCCCGCATTTTTAGGCTGACTTGATGATTTTCCCTCCCCGCCCCTTCCCCTCCCCCCCTTCCCCCCACTGCTCTCTTATCGAGCCACTCCACCACTGCTAATATGTAATATTCTCGGAAGCTTAAAAAGAATATAAATTAGCAGCCTACCATAACCCGAATGCATAAGTGAGACAAATTGAGTGACAGGGCGGGCTTCCTCTTAGCACTCCCTCATTGCTTGCTCGGCAGATATCCGGAAAAAGCACTCAATCATCGCGCATTCAGTTTGCTTTCCCATTCCACCCTTTGAGAGTCGTAATAAGTGCCTCTTTTAAGGGGGTAGAGCGAGACAATTCCCCCGGGGAACGGGCAAAGTCGCAACCCTCATTGTTGATGAGTTGTTCGGAAAATTTTAAAACAATATTTCTCCTCTATAGGCCAGAAATATGTGTGCCGAAAAAAAATTCCCAAGTGACTGCGGATTTCTTCAAACACAAATAATTGAATTAAGTAAGAGAAAGAAGCCCCTCTCAAAAGTGAGAGTGAGTGAGCTTTTGAGGGAGGAGTGATTGAGAATCACTGAGGAGGGCAGAAAGGAGGAAAAGCTAGCGAGCCGAAAAAAAATTTCGAGCATTTTGAGCCTCAATCATAACCATTTTGAGTGTAGCCATCAAAGACAGCAGCAGCACCACAAGAAATGTTCACTTCCATTGATGCTCTTCTGCAATCGTCCAGTCCTATTACTACTAATACCACAGCCACTGCTCAGGAGCCTCGAGATTTGCATACTTCACAGGGCCAGGCCTTAACTGTCGTCCAGAACATTGCCACCCCGAGCTATTCAAAAATTCCAGAAATAAATCGGAAAAGCGAATTTGAGACTCCAAACGAACTAAGCAGCGGTGCGCCAGCATTTTCGAACGGAATACCGTATACTCCGAGAACATCGAGCTCGTCTTCGTCGTCATCATCGTCAGCAGCAGTCACAGCAGCGGCCGCAGCGGCACCTATCCTTATAGAGCGATTACCGTATCCAGTTTTCCAGACCAGCAATATTCCACTGCTTTACGATCATATTGCCTTGACAAGTTAGTGTGTGTCTCAGCACTTTCCCCTGAACCACCTGTTCCGGGATATAGGAATTTTTCAAAAACAATTAACTTGCTTCAAAATGCTTCTAAGAAAAAGGTCCTGGTAGAATTTTTTAATATAATGCTTTATAATATATTCTCTGCTTGTCAGCTTGTAATTAGTTTTTAAATATTTTAAGATTTCGTTTTGAACCCTATGACCTTTACATTTCCCTTGTAAGCCATGCACAGGTCTCTCAGAAAGTAGCCCACGAGTGGTAGCAAGTGCCAACAGTAACCAACAACCACTAGACTTCTTTCATGTGCATTATAAATCTCTGCAGTTCTTCTTACAAATTTTTCGAATATTTCCCACGATTTTTGTCGATTTTGTAAATTTTTCTTCCAAGTTT